TGGCATTTTGAACATTTACTGTAATAAACTTTATTTTGAATTAATTGGTTTTGCTACGGCAACAGTGCAATTTCTATGGGTAAGTTCAATTTCGATTTATTTTACTTCTTTAAATATGGAAACTAGTAGGTCGGAAAAGGGGACTCTTCCCCAATATTTAAATTTTAGAATTTGAAGTTAAAATTGGTGCCAATCGTTTTTGGTCATTACATACTATTCCCCATTTTAATATGTACGTGTATTTCAATAACACCCTGTATACTAATTTGATCTTGTAGATAATATGTTATTCACGTGAACATTGACATAATTTTTGAAAGTTATATTATTTGTTCATTCCGATATAATAGTGTAGAAGCAGTTGTGAATATATTAAATACAACCCGTTTTGTATACCCACTTCCATTGGAGTACAAATTAGCTGGAAATCCATCATGATAAATGTGTCTAATCTATTATTGATATTTCTCCTGACCTTTTCTTTCTTCAACGTTTCTAGTAATCTTCGGCCAATTTGATATTTTTGTAGAATAAGAAAAAAATATCAACACATATATTACTACAATTCTAAAATCAACATTTTTCGTTTTAAAATAAATGTAAGGCTCGGCTTGATATTATATATTAAGTCGAAATTTTTATTCAACTTGTTATTTCACACCCTCCACTATGCTTTAAACCATATTATGATATTTTTAACAACCAGACTTCGTTTTTATCACTCATTAATTCAATGGAAGCCTAACAAATGGTGCGTTTTTGATAAACCCTCGTATCTCAGTTATTTGATAACATACGGTGTTATATATGGACGCTATATTGGATTTGTATTGTATTAAATATCATTTTTTATCTCCTTTTTAAAAATGTAACACATTTCTTTCAAATGAATACTGAAATAAACAAAAAATGTTGGTGTTGTACTTGATACGGTCTATAGCAGTGGTCGCCAACCTGTCGATCGCGAGCTACCGGTAGCTCGCGGAGGCAATTCTGGTAGCTCTCACAACGATTTTAATTTAAAAAATACAAACTGCAATAATCAGAGAAGCTTCCGAAAATTCCACAAAAAAATCTAATTGTCATAATATTAAACATAAACAGCGGCAACGTTGCGGTGAGCGATCTGCCGCTGACGCCATCAAGCTAGAATCGGCTAGAACCGACCAGCCGGACCAGCGCGTTAGTGTTCGAGAACGATCAGGATTGCTTTGAACGGGATAAATACGCACGGCGCGGCGACATTGCGCTTAGTTTAAAACTGAACGCGTAACCAACGTCCAGCGGTTGGGTTAGTAGAGAACAACAAAAAATAATATTATGGCAAGCAGTTGTAAGAAGGTAAAGACATACCACTTTCATTCGGAATGGGAAGAACAATACTTTTTTACAGAAGTTAAAGATAAAAATGTGTGTTTGTTATGTTCGGTCTCCGTTGCTAAAAAAGGAAATATTGAGAGACATCATGAAACTGTACATTCTAATTTTGAAAAATCATTCCCACTACATTCTGCCGCCAGAAAGGAGAAACTGAAACAGTTAAAAAGGCACTTAATTGGACAACAATCAATATTTTTAAGAACAGTCGACAAAAATAAGGCTGCAACTGAAGCATCGTACCGTGTGTCCCAGATAATTGCACAAACAAAGAAACGATAAAACAGGCGTTTTTAGAAGCTGCTGATTCGTTATTTGCCAACTTTAGAAATAAAGACGAGATAGTTTCAGCTATAAAAATCTATGCAACTTTCTGCTAATACAGTGATGAGACGTGTAGAAGTAATGAGCAATGATACTTTTTTAACGGTTAAGAACTGACTTAGATAACTGTGTTTATTTTTCACTTCAACTGGATGAATCAACAGATGTCGTTGACACTGCCCAGATAGCCGTGTTCGTCAGGATGGTTTTTAGTGATTTTACGATTAAAGAAGATCTTTTGAAGTTTATTCCACTGAGAGGACACAGTACTAGACAGGAGTTGTTTTCTCATTTAAAAAATATTATTTCTTCCGAGAAAATTCCAATATCGAAAATGGTAGGCTTGACAACCGATGGCACTCCAACTATGGTGGGTTGTGATAAGTGTCTGGTGGCGTTATGTCGTAAAGATGAAACTTTTCCGCAATTTCTCTGTTACCACTGCATTATCCATCAGCAAGCATTATGTGGAAATTTCCTGAAACTAAACAACGTTATGAAACTGGTGGTAAAAATTGTGAACAAGACTAGAGCTCAAGCGTTACAAAGAAGATTATTCAAAACCTTGGCCGATGAAGTTGACTGTCAATACAGGGACCTACTCATTCACTCTGAAGTCCAATGGTTAAGTAGAGGACGGGTGCTGAAACGTTTTAATGATGTCCTATCTGGCATAGTTCAATTTTTCAAACAAAGCGATGAACCGACTCCGGAACTAGAAAATTCAATCTGGCTTAGAGATTTTGGTTTTCTCGTGGACATTACAGAGAAATTAAACGAACTTAATTTGCAGCTTCAGGGGAGAGACAAAGAACTAGCGGAAATTATTTCTGATATAAAAGCATTTATCAAAAAGCTGGAGTTTTGGGAAAAAACCTAATTAACAGCGATGCCAAGTATTTTCCTATTCTTTCAGAAAAAATATCTTAAAATCCTTTAGAACCCTATGACAGCAAATATCATGTAGAAATAGTTTCTACCCTGAAGAATAACTTCAAAAATCGTTTTAAGGATTTCAACGAAATGGCTTTAGTAGCGCAGTTTGTTGTTTCACCCTTTATGGAAATTGATATCCAACAGTTTGCAACTTGTGTTATGCAGAACTTTGGCGAAGACATCGCTGCAACAGAAATGGAAGTAATTGAGTTTCAAAATGATTTAGCCTTAAAATCGTTAGTCTCAAGTACCAAATGTATCTGGCCTATTGTAAGTAAAGACAAATATTCAGTTCTATGCCGTGTTGCCTTGCAAGTGAAAGCATTATTCAGTTCAACCTATTTGTGTGAATCTTCTTTTTCCAATATGAAGTTAATTAAGAACAAATATCGCATTCGACTTACAGATGAACATTTGGATAATTGTATTCGAATGGCTGTATCAAATTATACTGCAAACATTAAAAAAATTATCAATGAGTGTCAGCCTTCTCATTGAACGTGCTTTTTTATTTGTCAATGTTTATGTTCATGATAGTGCGTTACTTTTTTGTTGTTATTATTAACTATTTTTAAATCTTACGTGACATGCCGTTGTGGCTGGATAAAAGTTTGTGTTTATTTTTTAAACACCTTCGTTTGGTAGGTAGGAATGTAGCTATGAACAAGTACGTACTAGTAATATTAGTTATTTTGTTATTAGTTTATTATTAGTACCTATGTATTATGTATTACCAGTTAAATAGTAAAATAAATACATGTCATGATAAATTAACTGTGGAATATTTCATTTACGTTGCGTTACGTGGCTTCCGTGTGGGTAGCTCGCTGTTTATTCCAAAATTAACAAACTAGCTTAACACATTGAGAGGTTGGCGACCACTGGTCTATAGTCTAGGGAAGAAAGGAGTGCAGTAATTTAATTTGCGAAACTTAGTATAGGTTCAAGAGGTAGAAATTTTATTTATGGCTCATCCTTCAATGCTTATTTGTAGTTATAATTAAAATACATCTGATCGGCCTAAAAAAGGTTTCGTTTAGATTTAATCATGTTTCCATGGTTTTTACTGTAATTAACCTTTTATTTCGATAGATAAGTCAGACTTTATTTATTCATAGCCGTATCGTATGTATTTTAATTTATTCGGAATTTTTTATTAGTATATATTATAATTTTAGTGCACTAGAAAATATTGCAAGCACAAGTACGCGTACAATTATTTTTGTTAACAAATTTTGATTCCACGTTATTATATAATGGTAATGTTTTTATTTTGACATTATTTAATCTATTCTTTAATGACAACGTATACTTACATGTTTTCGTAAATACTGTTGTCTGCCTATATTTTATTATTGATTTTTATTAATTAAACTACTTTTTTTTAGCTGAAGAAATAAAAATATATAATAATAAATAAATTTATTCACTTGTTTTTCAAATCCATATACTTTTATTAAAATCAACATATATTTTTTAATTACGAATTATATTAAAATTGTATTGTCAGTATACGCAAATATCGTCCGTTAGTTCATAAATTAGTTGGCGCTGCTGTTATGAATAAAAATAGGCTGGACAATACATTATGTCTTCTGTTATCGATATTTTTGGTAGAAAAAGAAGAAATTTAAACTTTGCGTTCTCCTAAAGAGTTGTTTTGTTTTTGTGTTTCTAAAAATATTTTATTTTGTAAGGCTGTGTCGTCTTGTTCATTATTTCTTTTAGGTTTCTTGTTCTTTTTATTTTAGTTTTTGTCTTTTATGTTGGGTTATTTTCTTTATTAAAGAGATTTTTGTTATTTTATATTGCTTTTTTATATTTTATTTTCATTGTTGTCTAACAAATAAACATTCTGTTTTCAAAATGTTGCCCCTCTATATACAATTGTGTAACGACGCCCATGCAAGGTAACATACATTTATTAATTAGGTATTATATGAAAAGTAATTTAATACTTATTTTGTTCTTACTGAGAAACACCAAAGTTTCTCAGGTGATCTTTGACAATATCAGAATGACATTTTTAAAATAAACAAAAATACACAAAAATAATAGTCAGACTAAGTTTATCTTTTAATAGAAGAATTTTTATTTATTTTAATATTTACTAACCTTCTGTATAGTAGAAAAATATCTTTGGAAATTAATTATATACATAACATTATTATTAGATAATATAAATGATTCGTACTTGATGTCATAATTAAAACTCAATTACCTACTGAATGTTTATTTTAAAAATTCTCTGGTTCTAAATTAAACAAAATATGCTTCATTAACAAGTATTGTGATGTTGTCTGCGAAGTTAAAAATTTAACAACAAATGTATAATTATATAATTTTTTTTATTAAGTACTTACGTCCATAAGAAAATGATAATAATCCAACCGCCAAAACTAAAAATCCAAACACAATATTATTGTCTCCCATTTGAAATGTTGCACGACTAAACTTAAAATTAATACTAAATCACAGAATTGAATCCATTCAAATCGAAATTGAAGAAAACACTAAACAAGTTTAAAAGTAGATTTGTTGATGACCCATGCTGATCTTTCGGTCAGTAGTTAGTATCGCAACCAGCCTTGGAAATACCGACGGCATCGACGACCAAGCTAAATGGTTTAGCAGGAAACAAGAGATATTGCCTATTACGTAGAGACTATGACGTCGTAATAATTATATTTATACGGTGTATTGGACATTATTATGCGGTTATTTATTTTGAATGGCTTGAATGTTGAAGCGGTATCCAATAACAGCGATAATTTACCGAAAGAACCCTGTAAAGATGTAAGCGAAGTTCCCTACGACTTTTCATGTAGGAGAAATCGGAGTCTATTGAAACGACAAACTTAACGTCACATTTGGCTTCAAAGGAGTGTATTCAAGGATTTGGTAGTTTTTAATATGTACCAGGTGACCTAATAAGAATAGCTGTCGGCAATATATATTATGAACCGATTATAGTTAGGTAAAGTGGGGGAATATCGACATGTGACCAATAACGATCATGATATTGTTACGATACCAGGGGTAATATATAATATTTAAAAAAGTATAAAGAGGGCTTCGTACTCACTTGAAATGATTTTTCCTTCTGTTTCCATATTACATATCCGATTTTAATGAAATTTTCAATAGCCTATTTAGAAAAAAATCTATTTTATGGGAAAGTATTTGTTTTTTTTTATTGTGAACAACATATTTATATTTTTATGAATATTTATATTAATATGTTTCCCGAAAGTGTAGCTTTTTTTTAAATCTTTGGTATGAGTTTCCTTTGCAAATAATGATAAATGAACCTTTGGGGCGTAAAATAAAAAGTACATTTAACAACGATTGATTAGTGGCGCCCTTGTTACCCAAATAACAGATAATAAGTGAGTAAGTAACGAAGCTACCGTCCACCAGTAACATAATCGTGCGTTCCAGCCTATGGAAAGATTTTATTTTTGGGATTTTGATCGATTGTGGTAGACATTTATTAGAGGCATTTTATAGCAAATGTTTTGTTTAAAATATATTCGACTTTTTTAAATCGTTTAAATTTTAGAGATGCAACTATGACGTCACGTACGAAATAATTTAAACCAAAGTTAGAATTTTTGAACCATTCGGAGGCATATGGTTCAATAACAGTTGACACACAAGAGATTCTGATTTTAGCTGTTGTATGTTGTTTTGCTCTGTTCCATTTTTGAAAATTTTGATATATTTGACGTTTTGTTAATTTTTATTGATTTTTAATAACTTCATACATATATGATTCATATTCATACATTAATTGGTTATAACGTTATAATATAAATATTAATATGTATCGTTATATTTTGTCAACATCATAAATAGTTGGATGGTCTGATCTACCTATAGGTTACTCTTGATTATGAAACAATGATGCAATTGAAACGAGGTAAAAGGATAACTCATCAGTTGTACGTTTTTGGCAAAAATATTTACGTAGATTGCTTCAGATTCGGAACTTGCCAGTAAATATTTAAAAGCAACTAAACGTTCTTTGGTACGAGATATTCTAATTGATGAACTTTGGAAAAGCCCAAAAAATCTACAGCAAAGATCGTCAGACAATCGCGTATCTGTTGAAGCAACGGAATAAATATATGATGCCATGTTTATGGACAAGAAAAATACCAAAAATAAAACTGTAAATAACATTTCAGATTGCAATGTATTAATAACATTCCAATTTTTAATTAAAATCACAATCAAACAAACACTCATCTTCCTTCTTCTGATTTAACAATCATTAAAAGTAGTTCAATTCATTTTTTAAATCGACTTCGCTTCTTCTTTCTACAACTTATTTCAACCGGCATCAAAAAATAATACGATCGAAATCAGAATATTTCAAATTTTGTCATATGATAGCAGGTTATATTTTTAAAATACCCTATTTTTGCCATCTATTAATTCATGACGTCACTTTAAACAAGGTTTAAAAAATATTTTAAACCAATGTAGTGGCTAAAAAACGGCTTTATTCTATTATTGCCGCGTTTGAATATCCACATCGGATGCATCTGAGATGTAGTAAATCTTTGATCACGTGATTCAGTATACGTAAATGTAGTGAGACAGATGTGTCCGATGTGGATAAACAAACGCTGGAGATGTAAAAAATGCATCGTATGTGGATTTTCAAACGCGGCATATAAATTTGGTTTTTAGTAAACTTGGGGCACATAATTATTTTCGGTTTTTCAGGTCAACTAGTAATTGTAAGAATAATAAACAATCAATTCCGGATGTTGGAGCTATATCCATGGACGTTTCTGAAGGGTAATTCATTCAATGTCTTATGAAATATCGAATTAGTATATTGAGCATAATATATAATGTATACAGTGCGGATGGGAGTAGTCCTCCTCCTATTATGTTTTAAATGGATTAATCTTTTTCTACCAAATTTGGTACACTTCTATGGTAGGTATTGTAAGTACTACTTTTTACAATCCTTGTTTTCAAAATGACGTCATCTCCACAAGTGTGATGTCATTTGGGAAAAAAAATTAAATGGGAAGTGGGTTATGTGATACCTCGTTTGAAAGGTATTTTAATTTTGCATCAAACACTATGTACATTTAAATCTTGACAATGTTTTTGTACTTTCACCTCAGCAGTTCATGAAATACTTGGTTGTGGTTAAAGTCAGCATTTAATAGCACGTCCATTTTAAACTTGCGTAGGCGATGTGAAAGTACAGAAACAACCAACCGGTATGTGTTGAAGAAGGAAAGAGAGAAGAGAAATAAAGGGGTGACTTAGGAGGAAGAGGTATGTAGGAGGAGGTGTGTAGGAGGATGTCTAACCTAACAGATTTGCCTAGTATCAAAGAGACGAAGAAGATGGCCAAAAGGACCTAAGTGTCATATACAAAAAGTTATCCAACCTAACTCCTGGTGACATAAAAAACTGGAGGAGGAGGAGACCTAGTGAGGGAAGTAGGCTAAAGTTGAATAATGTTGAAGCGTAATGGCCGTAAGGACATAAATCATTGCTATTGGAAAAAACGGGGGTCTAATTGGCATGTCATTGAAATAAATCTAGCACTACCAAAAGACCTTAGGTGGATAAACGGAAAGACAGAGAGACAGACCAAAAATCCAGCAAATACTCATTAATGGCCCAACACTGGCGCAACACTGGCACAATATATGTGAACTGTACTTGAAGTGGCGGCAAAGCATTTGTGACAGACTACATTGCTGGCGTCTCCGCGTCCAAATGGTCGACGTTTTTCTTGCATACATTTCCCCGTCACTTGCAAATGCTGGAAAAGTGCTTTAGAAGCACACAAGAATATTATCAGTATACTACTGGAGAAGTACTCAAGATATTTTGTGTTTTTCATCTACAGTGCTTTTATAATATAGTGAAATCCGTCTATTTATGAAATTCCGAGTCATATCACGAATAAGCGACGGCATATTGTGTAAAATTGTGTTTTCATGAAGTGCCCGTAGCATTTCGGCAAATTTTGAGTAACAACCTGTCTAAATTAAAATATTGCTGTTTCATGAAATGTCCACAAAGGCAAGGCATATTGTGTTTAAATGGCTCTTCTGAGCTTGTTACACATACAGAACACATTATTTCAAAAAGTGTTTCAGAAATATTTCACACGTTTCAAACATATAACATTTCAAATAAAAGTTTCTGAAATATTTAAGTTAAATATTTCAATAAAAATATTTCTGAAACATTGTTTACATGTTACACAAAAGGTTACTAAACGGGTTATTTTGTAAAAGACAATGAAGAATTTCTGATTTGTAAGAAGAAAATGTGATATTTTCTAGCTTCTTGATTTTATATAATATGCCGACGCTTTATGATGTGAAAAGACGAATAGCCCTATTCAGGGTGTTTCATAAAGAATGGTAAATATTTTAAACATGGATTCAGGACCTCTAAATATTAATATTTTTCTAAATAACACTGGGTCAAGTGTTATCTACTTCTGAGATACTGAGTGTTAAAGTTAAATTTTATTTCCTTTTTTGTAATATTTTCGTAATTATTTAACGTATTGACTTGAAATTTGGTACGGATATATTTTTAGATTGGTAAATTATAAGCGCGTTATCAATTTTGAGATTATACACAAACCTACATTCTACTGAATGAAGCAAACTTCAGTTTTTTATTCTTGGAATTTCTAAACTTTTTCAAGTTTTTATGGTACAAAACATATACTTCGTTATTTGACATTTTTATATTTTTCAAGCCTATTTTGTTGAAATTAAATATATGTATACTGCGGCTAGAAAATAATGAATGAAAATTTTTCAAAATAGATTGATTTTTGCTATTAAAACAAGTTTACGTTTTTTGTATAAATTTACAGAATGTACAATAAAGACTTGAAAAAATTTAGAAATGCCAAGAATTAAAAAAAATTATAATTTTCTTCATCCAGTAGAGTGTAGGTGGTGCCCTCTTTGTCTATTCTCAAAATTGATAACATGCTTATAATTTACTTAGTTTTTCATCCCTTGATAAGTTAGGTAAAAATAAAATTGCTAATTGATCTTAATGATTAGATTGTAATAATCGTAAATGTTCCTTTACTTTATTAAAGGAATTGGTGAAAATGAAGAAATTCGCTTCTATATTTTATGAGATATTGTTTAAAACTTATTTATTTATTTGTTTGTTTGTTTGAGAATCAATAATTGAGTTCTGTAAATGTCTTTTTTTAATCTAATAATTAAAAAAAAAACTGGAATACATTTCTCAAATATTACTATTTAATATTTCTAAAAGATTTTAAATTTTCATTTCAGAAATATTACTGTGAAATATTATATTAACAGGACATTTTTACGTTTCAGTCACAATTCAGAAATGTTTCTGTGATATTTCGTAATATTTGTACATTACAAATGTTCAACGTAACATTTTGAAATATTTCCGAAATGTGTTTGTGCTGTATGGGTATGGATGCCACAATAGCAAAAATAATTATAATTTTTGACACTACACAAATCTCAATAATTATTTAGCCTTATTGATATGATATACAAAAAAACTTTCATTTTCACAATGGATTTGTATTTATCAGACTAAATAAACGAATAAAATAAGTAAACATCAGTTAAGGTTATTATGATTATATTAGGTATGAATATTATCCTAATAACTCTTCCTGTTAATTGAC